CCAGCAATCATTTGTTTGCTATAAACCTGGGCATTGACTGGGCAGAGCTTTGTTTCGGGAAGGGCCCGGCCGTGTAAAGCTGGAAACGCCAAGCCTGGGCCCAGGCCAAGAAAATGGCTACTTTTGATAATTTCAAAATTAATAAATAAATCATTTTCGGAATAATGAATGAAGGATTATACCTATTTTTTAAAAAATATCAAAAAAGCTCTGTTAGGGTTTTTTGGGTTTGGGGCTAAAAGAGGAGCCTAAGTCTGGCCCGGATGTCGTCGAGGCTTTTAGGCTGGGCCCGACAGGCCGGCGTGCCAATGCCCAGGCTTAGTTTGTTACTGGCGTCTTGTTACAAGAGCCCAAGTTGTTTATTTCTGGATAAGCATCCTCTGTTTTCTCTCCATGTAAAAAAACTTGGTGATGACTGGAGTGTAAAAAGGTTAGAAGGTGATGGTTGCTAATAAGAACCTCAGAGAAAAGAAATGAAGCTGGAGTTGCATACAGTACACAGGTCACATCAAAAGTACAGCGCTCATGACTACATGAGGAAGCTGGCCAGTCAACACCTGTGAAGAAGCAACTTAAGGTAAAGGAAATCTGATTTATTGGCTGATGCTCCTTCCTGTTCCCATCAGGAAGACCAAGAATCAGTCTCATCTCAAAAAGCAGGGGCTGCCTGACTCCAAGCGTGGTATTCCTTTTTGTGAAATAATGTTGGCCTTCTTTGTTTCGTACGTAGAATTTTAATTCTGGCTTCTTTGGCTCGTAGGATTTTTTCTTTCTGTTCCCTGCCGGAGTTAAACCGCGTGCTGTGAAATTCCTAGATTGGATCAATGGTGGCCTAAGGCTTCTAGTCTAGGGCCTGAGTGAGATCGTTTGAGGGTATTGCGTTGATCCTTGATCCTGATAGGACAACCACCCTAACCATACAACCAAACGTCGCTTTTCCCTTGTAGGAAATGTATGCACACCTCTTTCCTTGAAGGCATGTACGTGCAATTGGGTCGAGAGAACAGTACAGTACATCTGAGTCCGACTCTTTCTGCGCCGCCCAAGCAGCCTTTTTCCTCCAGCAGTGTAGATTCTTCTACGGCCGGCCTGCCGGCCATCTCTTTCTGCTGCATTATTGGGAGGCTGGTCGTTTCAACATCCCAGATCGATCATGTTTATCCCTTTCAGCTCATACTGTCACACGTCCAAGGCATCATCAAGGAAAGAGCACCTGGGCAAGAGCTTCCAAGTTCTCAACAGTTTGAACTTTTTTTGGGTTACCAGTTTGATCCTTTTTTCACTTGTAGTACACGCCCATTTTTCGACGTCATGCAAACTTGCATATTTTGTGGTCCGTCAGAGGGCAGAACAGAGAGGCAGCATTTATAAAGCTCTATTTTGGCAAAAATAATAATAATGAGTGCTTGTTTGAGGCTTCTAGTAAAATTTCTGCCTAATTTATAAAACTCTTTTTTTGGCGAAAAAAATGAGGCTGCTAGAAGGTACGATAAGACCTATTGTATGGAGCTCTAAGATGAAAGGAGCAAAACGTTTGTCTCCGTCAAGGGAGGCATGGCCAGGCTCCCTGATTGAGCTTCATCTCCAGGGTTAGGAAAGGTGGAGCCAACCGCCGCCAGTTTAGTTGGTGCTAGCTCTTGTCACCTCGGCTTACAAGTCAAGTCACAAGAGGTCCGCCGGTGGCACGACACGTGTCAATACCCCATCCGTCCATGCTAATCAACTCAGCCTGTGCTTAGCTGGATGTTTACCTTTGCCGATTACCTTGTTTGCAGTTAATCTTTTTTTTTCTGACATTGAGATTTAATCTCATTTTAATAGAAGAATTATCTGTTCCGAATTTAAGCGGAAACTACTATCTTATTTCTATATAGAGCTGTACTCATTTCTCATACTAGTGTGTCAGATCCCAAAAATATTTGGTTAGTTTGCACCGTTATAATCTGGAGAGGATGTGGCACATGAAGAACCCATGCAATCAAGGATCCATTCTTGGTTAATAACCAGGAGTGGTAAAAGATTACATATGCAACAAATACTATGCACCTAGACCTAGTAAAAAAAATTATCACACATGTGCTCGTCCCAAGATCTTCTCAAGAAGAGATCTTTACAAATCTGCGCTTTACTCAACCAGTTGCATTGGCCTGATGCATATGCCAAGAAGAAAACGACTGACTGAAAGGTACCTCATAGAGATAAATCATGTCTTTATTTGTCCTCTTTGCAGCAATATTCTTGGTGCGTTGTTCGTTGCCCTAAATGTCTCGTCCTTGCGTCAATGTGTTCGCTTTCGACCGCATTTCCGTGCAACAAATGCCTATGGTACGTGCTGCCATTGGGTGCAGGCAACCAAATTTGATAGGTTACAGCGCACGGGGGTCACTTTTAAGTTTGGCGAGGTGTCCTGCAGTCGGCCTGCAGAGTCTAACACATGAGGTCCAAGTTTTCCAACGTGTCAAGGCTCCAGAAGATATTTTAAGCATAAGGGTCGCTTCTTAATTTGGTGTGCTCCTGTGATATGCTGCCTACTCTATTTATCTAAAGGTTCTTTTTTCCTAGTAATTCAGCGGTATTTTGTCGTTTCATCTCAATAAGATCATTCTCAACAAATCGTTCCGTCACGTGAACATATCGGCGAACAGATATGGTTTGAAAAAGCCACAGCAGCGTCGGAGGAAACCTCACTCAGAAAGCATTCCAAAGAACCATGAACAATCTTTCGAAAGCCCAACATATCCAAGATAAAGCTTATAATTGGACACTTCGTATGGAGTGAGTGAGTAACTAATGTAAAAGTATCAAGGTTTGGTAGCTAAAAAGCAGACACTCGCCGAAAACTTTTACCGATCTTCTGGCTTGGATCAATTCACACATATCGCGATCTAGGCGTGCAATCAGGTCAAGCCAAGGATATTTCGTGTGGGACAAAGTCAAATCTGATATGCTAGACACAAGTGTGTTGTCTTGTTGCTTGTATTTGTGCCCATCCTTAACCATTTCAACCAGATGGCGCACGCATGGGCTTTGTGCCTTATCTCCAAGGCAACCATGGGTTGGTGTTGGTGTATACACATGATGAGACAACACATTATTAAATTTTAACTTTTGCAGTCGATCAGATCAGCTTGTTCTTTCCAGCATGGTGTGGTTTGGCTTGATCTTGCTGCCCAAGCTGTCACATGATATATATAAAAATTCTAATTTCAGCATATGCATGAGGAACTATAATAGCCACACCAATGCTGATGATAATAGGGGCTCAATGGAACACATCTTGTAGTGAATAAGCAATGGCGGATCGAGCCGACACAACATATATTTAGAGGGTTTATTATCTTTCCGCGCAAACTTGACGCCCTTGTCAGGGGGCGAAACAATCCGTGGCATCTTGGAATTCGACCCGATGTTGATCGTGCTTCTTGGTTTCTCCAAATAAGTGTAGTGCATGATTTCTGCATGATTTGATTCATCTCAATCAGAGAGTGCCAACCAGCTACTTCAAATCATTCATGCTGACTACACAGTTTTTAGTAAGTTTCATGTCACAAGAATACAGACGTGGCATGACACCTCAGAGTAATTAGTAGCTATGCCAATGCCTGTCTTCTACTTTATTACGGTTGGGTGATGATGTGGTGTTAAGATAACTTCTACGACCTTTTCTTGCTAGCCATCAATCATCAACTTACCAAAATGATAAAATAGAGCTTGATTAACCTTGGAGCAAGCCAGCTAAGTAGTAAGTGATTGGTTAATTACTTTAATCATTTGCTTAATTTGCTTGCAGAGAGGACTTTCCTTGTGTTAAGATGGGAAAGAAAGAACTCATGCTCACTTAACAGTTAACACCACCAAATAACAGTGAACAAATTAACAAATATTTTTAACCCTGTTCATCCCAAGAAATATCTAAGAGCCTGATGCCCATCAACTGACTGTTGTTCACAGTACCTCAAGATCTAAACCTACCCTACTTATGTCACGAGTTACTACTAGTACTACTTACTACTCATAGTGCAATTAGGCAGGCAAGCCGTACTAATACATGACAGGAGCTGTTTCACTGTCTCCTATTTAATTTTTATGCAGCTGCTCTGCTCCTCCCCTGCATCTGGATCCTCATGTCAAGGCAGATTAACCAATAAATGATACACTACAAAATAACAGATTTAGATTCTCCTCGGGAGCCATTAATCAAAAACGATTGTGTACTTGTGTAGATCTCCAGGACAAGATCTTGTCACAGAGACAGTCCATTGCAAAAACAAGATCCCTCAGTTGATTGTAGAAGAGGATCTTCAGTTGATTCGCCAAAGGAGATCAAGTGAGCAGACTTAAAGTTTTTATCCAACTTACAACTAGACAGTTTAAAAATTCTCAAACTGACTTAAAGTTTCCATTTTAGCATTTTTACTGCACATGACCAAGATTTGGGTGTCTGTGTATAAATATGGTTTTTTCTTGAGCTGGGCCCACTTTCTGACCATTCTCCACAGGACAAGATCTTCCTGCAGGAAGTACAGACAGAGTACAGCTTGTTTGTCAATGGAAGCTAGTGTAAACAAGATATAGCATAATCTTTTAGATAATGGCACAACAGATATATATTACTAATCCATCTCCCTTGCTCCCTCTCTCTCTCTCTCTCTTAGTTTATTCACTGTTCTCATGCATGCAAAATATTACAAAGCCTCATCGAAGTGCTACAATCTCGCTGTCGCTGATGTACCTCTCACTCACTCTCACTCCATGTGCACCAGAAGATCTACCCAAAAAAAGAGGAAGCTCCTTACTAACTTACTAGACAGCTAATACCCCCAACCTCCTAAGAACAACATGTACATGGTCGCGGCGCGACACGCGTCGCGACATGGCGGCACGAAGCTTCGGCTGAGGTCCCGTTTGGAAGGCAGGAATTTTTTTCGACCGTCAGGAACTGAACTGAACTGGTTCCTGTGGAATTCTTGCGTTTTTGGACTGAGGTTTCATCGATCAGATCAGGCTTGTAGCTCCTCCTTCTCGACCTGCAGCCTGATCTCCCTGTTGAACCTGGTGATGAAGTCCTCCACCCTCCGGTTGAGCTCCTCGTCGGAGAGCCGCGCGTAGTACTCGCTCTCCTCCTCCTCTGCGGCGGTGGGCTGGCGCCGGCCCTCCGTGGCCGTGCGCCGGAGCTTCTCGTCCCTCACAACGACCACGCTCTTGTCCTGCACCACCACCGTGTCAGTGTCGGGCACGAGCGCGTGCGAGTGGGACCTGCTCCGCCGCCTCCTCGCCGCCCTCTCCTCCCTCGCCAGGCTCCTGCTTGCCGTCAGCCTCGCTTTCACCACCACGCCGTCGTCGTCACCCTCACCGGTGGGGTAAGCATAGGACGGTTTGCCGGACATGGCCATCTTCGGCCGAGCATCTTCTTCGCCTCGTACAACCAATGCGTGTGCATGGCTGTCCACGGCCGTGTCGCCATGTACGAGGATGTCCCTCGCGACAACCAACGGTTGGTCCTCGACGACGGCCACAGGCAGCAGCGGCTCGTCGCTGGAGACGCTAACCATTGGCACCGCCGCTGCGTCGCCGTTGTAGTTGGAGACGACGAATGGGCGGTCGTCGACGCCCGGGGAAGCGGAAGCGGAGGAGCCGAAGAAGAGCATGCCGGAGTCGGCGGCGATGACGACGATGATGGAGTTGGACATGAGGAACCAGAAGGTGGTGTCCCGGAAGAGCGTGGCCGGCGGCACGCGGAGGACGGAGACGTAGAGCACCGGCAGCGCCATCACCAGGATGGAGATGGACACCTTGGTCATCATCTGCTGCTGCCTGCTGGCCTCTTTCTCCGGAGAAGCCTGCATGTTCACCAGCGGCAGCATGTGTTTGCAGTATACGCTTTGGGCTCTCTAGCTTCCCTGCTATGCTATGGCTTATTTGAGTTTGAGCTCGTGGTTTCTGTGGACTTGTGGTGTGAATGAGATGTCCTTTTATAGGGGAGAGGTAGAGAGGGAGAGAGAGAGGGAGAGAAGTAGAGAGAGAGAGAGAGAGTAAATGCATGCTAATTGTTGTGTTGTCTCTAAAAAAATTGTTGTTGTGTAGGTGTAGGTTTGTGGTTGTATGTGAGTGAGAATGATTGGTGTGTGTCTAGAGAGAGAGAGGGAGTGCATGCATGGGAGGGGGAGTGTGAGCATCACTAGTACTACTAGTAGTAGCTCTCCAATAATCATGTGTGTGGCTGGATGGATGGAGATGGGGTAAAGAAAGGTATGGTGGTTTTGCATGCCTGATTAGAGAGGGCAAGCTAGGGGCTGGATGACGGTGCTGCATTTGAGTCTGATATTTTGGGGTGCAATTTGCTAGAGGGGGAGGGGGACACTGTTTAGATGAGAGCAAATGGGCATTGTGGCACATGTTGGCCGGCAGTGCAGGACAACCAATGATATGGTGAGAAAACCATGCATGTATGGCTGTGCGTTTTGGAAAAGCAAAGTTAAGAGCATACTTTCTTATATCTACACCACACACCCTACCTAGCTATACCAAGATAGGATCAAAACCATGGTGCCATCCGTATAAACCACTGCCTTGTTGTGCCTATTGAACCATGCATGCTTGTGAAAATTGCTTGTCAATTTGTTGCTTGTTTCTTTTCGCAGTATGACATTATTGAGTAAGCTTTTGAAAAAACATGTTAATGAATCTTCCGTGTTTTTGTTTTTTTGAAATGGCTTGCTTTAAGTACTCTGCTTAAATTCAACACACCACATGATCAACCCCTTTTGAGAGTGTATCATATATATAGTACGCCCATATGCTAGCTTCCATCGGAACATGTGTACGGATCAACAAAACTTGCACAATTTATCACATGGGGTTAGGGCACATTGGAACATGTGTTAAACCGATGACTCTTAGTTGAAGGGAACAAAAAACATGCCATGTGGAGAAGAATTTTTTTCACAGAAGAGACCGAAGGTTTAGCCCATCGAACAAGCTCCTAGCGAAATTCCTTTTTTGATGCACCAACATAACACCGAAAAATAAAATGACTATTGTTATTTCAAGAATAGTCTGGTTAAGCTCATGTTCTTATCGGTGTAGAAGAACCTTGGAAAAAAATAAATAGAGACTCTCCTCCCCGTTTCCCTCTGCCATGAGAGGTGATTAGGGCGAGCATCCATTGCCCACCATCCACCACCATCGACGCTGAGCATGTGGGTTCCCCTCTCCTCCGCCTACCACTACTGCGACGTGATGGGTGGGCTATCCTGGTGCCTCGGGGTCAGCCTGCATATAGGTTAGGGTTCTATGGTGGCGCATCCTTGATGGAGGTGGCTGCGCCAAATTAGTGAATAAGTTTTCCTCGAGCTTTCACATCTCGACAATGTCATCTATGCTAATATTGATGGCTCGGTGGCGTAGATTCCTACTGTGTTTTCCGGACGGTGAGAGTATGGTTTGCAAGGTATGTCAGCACAGAGGCGACAACAACTTTCCTCTGCAGTTTGGTCCTCTGGCCTCATCTTCGTCACATTAGTGCGTCCTCCGATTCCGGCGTGAGGCCAGTGATAAATAATGATCACTCTTGAATTTGCAGTTCCTTCGATTGTGACGGCATCTTCTCCAAGGCGCTAGCTCGGCTGGACCATGGCCTTGATTACTTCCTGTGGCGATCAATGACGATGGGTTGGCTCTAGCAATGGAGTGGCATGCGGTGGCATGCCATCTGTTGCACTGACTCCGCACATCACAAACCCGAACACGACGATATGTTTCCCAAAAAGCTTGCAAAGTATCAACTATACAAATTTAAATAAATAAAGTAAAAAATCAGGATGCGATGGTTAGAAAAAGGCCATGGCCTTTATGGACAAATTTAAACCCATTTAAACCCCTTTTCGTAGTTACAAGAAGTGGCTGAAAAGACTCAAGTTTGTGTTGTCAGAATGATTGCAAGCCGAGCAACAAGACAAAAAAATCATTTTGGAGTATTATTAGTTACAAATGCAAATATATAGTATATGCAGTTGATATCACATCAATAATCAAATCGACCCCTAATTCCTTTGTTCTCATTATGTTACTCATTATGTAGTACGTCCTGAAGCTTTCCCATCAATAATTGGGCTGGGGAAATATCAAAACTAATGTGCACCATGGCCACACGTGTCACTCTTCCTAGCTTCCTAGGCCTTCTGTTGCCTACCAACTTGTACTACTGTGTTGGGTCTCTCGATCATCTTCAATGTATGTGATGTTAACCGCGCAGCAGGCGTAGTCAACAATTGTCAATTCATTCAAAAAATGTATGTGAGGTTATATGGCTGTGCATGTTGATTAATACGTAGTCCTTCCGTTTTTATTTACTCCGAGTATTAGCTTTGGTGAAGTTAAGCTTTGTAAACTTTGACAAAATTTATAAACAACAATATTAACATATACAATAATAAATCAATACCATTAGATTTATTATTGAATATACTTTCACATCATATAGATTTGTTATGATATACTTTAGTCAAATCTAATATATATGCAGAGTAACTAAAAACGAAGGAAGTACTTCACCAGGCAGTACAGTGTAATGTAGATGGACTGCATCGAACCCAATACCTATTAGCACAAATGAGAGTACTTCACCACTGCGCCAGCCCGTCCTTCACATATTCTTGATCAATAACAATATGTATTTAAATTCTTATAACCTTTTAATGAGATCCTCATGCATGATTTACGTTATGATTGCAGTTTTGTTTTTATGAAATTCACAAAAATGAAGAAGCCGAGAGCAGTATCGGCATGTGACTACCTAGTTTCCTTTAGAAAAGGCTGATTAAGAATAGGACAATTGCCTAGTTAATTACAGAAAACCAGGCGAAATCAGTCATGACTCACGACACACGACAAAGCACGAGGCACCAACGGCCTGCCTAGCTACCCACATGCAGTCCACACACATTGCCGACATGAAGAGCATCGGCAAGGTTGCCTGCAAGAGTCATCGTCGTCACTTATCCCTGAGCAAGCGATTTTGACTTTGCTGCATCGAACCATCCACATGGTAGCCACCAAAAAAAACGTCTGAGGTTCACGCTGGCCTATGCCAAAACAAAAAAAACCAGCCACACACACCTAGATGCTATGGTGGAGGAATAAGGAGGGATCCACGGTGACCCCCAAAGCGGACAGCGACCAACGGCGCCACGTCTTCAACGCAGGCAAAGCCAGAGAAGTCCTCACTCGGAGTAGCCCACCCCTTCAAAGCTCACATAGCCAGCGGCCCGAAAAGCGTCGCTAGCCTGCTGGAATGCTCAACTCTAGTGTGGCAATGGTGCTGCCTCGCCGCAAGGACCACCAACCTTACCGCCTATAAACGCGTATGAGCCGAGTCCAGTCGAAACAGACAAATATGATGTCCCACCACCACCGCAACCATCAAAGGCCGACACAGAGCCGAGTCGTGCGGGGACGAACTCCCAAAGAGGAAGAAGGGGACCCCACCACCCCGCTCCCAAGTCGTTGGAAGGATTCGTCGGGCTGAAGCCCGGGATCCCACCAATGATGCTACCGCAGTCACTGCCGCCAGAGACACTGCTTGGGAAGCCCCCACACTGCACAACAGAAGGGAACAAGCCTCATCCACCGTGAGAACCTGTCACCGGACGAGGAGAAAACCCCACCGCCACCATCCGCCCTGCGGGAGCCTCCTCCGATGAACGCAAGGGAATGAAGGGGGGTGAGGGGCGGCTTGGTGGCACTCGATCTAGGGCTCGGGAGGGGAGACAAGGGTTTTCCTTTTATGAGTTTATACTTGAACAAAAATGTTCCTAAGGAGGGAACAATCAAATTAGCCATGTTATGATTTGTCTCCTCGGAATTCGCGCTCAGCCTCAATTAGTACCGGCTCACTCCGTTACGTGTACGTACGTATGCCAATATATAGAGAGAGTTGACACAGGACGTGTCCGAGTACTTGAGTGCATACGTGGTAGCCACAAGAGCTTTGCTTGATTGGTTTGCTGGTAATCATGGAGGCCAGGTGGCAGCAAGTAGGTAGAGATATTTAGGTCAAAGCCAAGCTTTGCAATCAGCAAGCGACGAGATCTAACAGTGCGTGGCCTGTTTGCTTTGTTTGACATGCATATACTACGTCGATGCTATGGCCTATGGCACTGTGGAAGTTTCCAGAATCTTCTTTACCCATATGCTCGCCCTTCTCATGACCCGGCTGTCTACAAAACTAAACTAATCAATTATGCGTTTCGCTAACAGTGTATGCTCACAAAAAATTCAAAGGCCAGATGCCATGCATCAATTCTGCACCAGAGTTCGCACTGCACTTACTGTTAAGATTTTATCGGTTAGAGCATGGTTAATAATATAGCCAGCTGCTGACTACAAGTCAGTGCCATGTCATCTACAACCCATCTTACTAGAACATGAAGGCACGCGTTGCCGCGCTCTTTCATTTTAATAAAAAATAGGAGAAATATCTGCCATAAATTTAGATGGTACAAATATATGTAAGAAGTATGAGTATCCAAAACTGCAATGCCTCAAATACGAAGATGATTGTTTGTTATAGTACGTTTGGGGGCAGTAAAAGAATGGAATGTGAAGCATCTAAGCACGACTAACAGTTACTATTCTTCTGAATAATTGTGTGCCTTGTGAAGGATATATGGTTCCCAGAGTTTTCTGAAAAGCAACAACTTCCAAGCTGATGCCAGCATCAAGGAAGCTCTCCGATGCACAAACATCAAAATGGGGCAAAAATGTAACATCAGCGTATAAGCGTGCCTAACAAGAGATGAATATGTTACCAACAAGAGTTGAATACGGATAAAAGAAGATTGGCTCTCAAAGTTGAGCATAACAT